AAACGTGGCACCGGGCGTACCCGCTCTGACGGAGAGACAGCCGGTGGAGTCTCCCGCGGAGACGCGAAGGGGCGAACGAGGGGGCGACGAAGGTTTCTGCAAAGATTGGCAACGCGAAGGAGGAAGCCTGTTGCCCCAAGAGAGTCCGTACGGCCTCACCACGCGGTCCGACGAGTGGAGCAGTCTCCTGCCCAGCTCCACAATCGTGGGTGCTGGGGGGTCACCATGGCTCGGACTCGGAGGGGGTGGTACCGGGGCCACCACAGGAGGCGGAAGTCCCGTCGAGCTCGAGGGCCACTGGGGACGTAAGCTGTACAGCGCGAGTGTGGCACCGCCGCCCCCGCCGCCCCATCATCATCCGCGGGCGCCGTTGGTTTTCGCGCCTCAAGATATGAGGCAGATACTGAAGGAGGAACCTGTGCCACGTGCTTGGCCGCAGCCCGCGCTCGCCGACAACGGAACGTGAGTACATAAAAATCTTCACATAATAATCTTAGTACATAATAATCTTCACATTTGACAAGAAATGAAGAGTGATCGAGATATGAGATTGTATCTTTCCGACGGAAATGCAGTAGATAAATAAATTTATGTATGTTGTCAGAGGAATATCTTGTTTTAATAATCACTTTATTCAATTTTATCATTGGCGTAACAATCAATTTCATTTTATTGAAGATATATTTGTAGTCGTGTCATTGCAAGAAAGTTTTACGTAGTATGATACGTCTGAATGTAAATTGGATTATTTCTTGAAACTATACAACATATAATATGACATCTCATAATTTATCTATTTCTATAATTTGCAATGAAGAATAATTTAAAAAGAACAATAAAAGAGAAAACATTCTATGCGACATTATTTCTGCTAATCGATGAAGAATATATTTATAATTGAGTGAAAAAATTTTCTTATTATAACGTCGCGTCTATATTTTTATGATATTTATATCTTAAACTATTTAAAATTACATTATACATGATTTTATCCCATTTGCTTGACCAAAACAAAACATTTACAGAATGTATAGAACGAAAATTGTATAGAATTAAAATTATCGCGCTGAATTTTAGTTTTTAATCCACTCAAACAATTAATTAAATACAAGAAACGTGATAACGCATTAAAATGCAAAAATATATTTATTGTTCAAAGACAGGTACACAATGATTTGAAACGGAATGTTTATGTGAGATGAAAGTTACAGTTGTAATCGCGCCGACAAAGAATGACAGTTTTTATTAGCAACAGTTTTTTGTAAAACGTAAAGGCTGTTGCAAGGCCGTAAAAATGTTTTAGTCATAATTGTAAGGCCGTAAGAAAATAAATCAATCACAGTCGATTAATTGTATTAATGATAAATTAATTTAAGATAATTTAGACATTACTGACATGTCCTGTGGCGAGAAAAATGATATGTTAAAAAAGGATCTTAACACTTTGAATGTCATCCTATCATCCATATCCGGGTGATGCGTTTCCGCAAAGACCCCGTCATCCATTTGTGAGTGATGGTCTTATTTACTCGATTTTATTAAATACTTAAGATATTAAAGAAATAATATAAATATTGTTAAGATATTAAAAAAGTAATAAAATATTAAAATAATATATGAGATTTATTAAGTTCACTACCGAAATTAGCTTGGCATTCAAAGGGTTAATACGAACTGTAGAAATATGTTCGTGCTGCTGTTATAGTATTTGCCGTCGGATCGCACGCCGAGCTATATCCCTGCGTAACAACGTTAATCATACGATATCCATTAAAATTGTAATAATTTTTAGTATTGTATATACGCAAGAAAAATTGACTGTGCATAAATATTGCAAATTATAAATTTGTCAAAGAAACAGGTAATCGTGTCTTTACTAAAAGAAGGGATAAGCAGCTTGTGTGTGTAAGCTATTCCAAAGCGAATTTTTTTTCCTTTTTTAACATATTATTTTTTCTCACCACAGGACATGTCAAATAAATTGTCTAAATCATCTTACATTAATACCATCACACACAAGAGACAGCTACTATAATAAAGACTGATGGTGTTCTTTGTCGGCGCGACTACAATTGTGACTTTTATCTCACAAAAACAAATTTTTGCTTTATATTTTTACCGTTTCGAATCATCGTGTGTACCTATGTTCGAACAATAATAAACAATGAACCGTGCTTTATTGCAACGTCAGAATTTTAATGATGCGACAATAATAAAGATACTTGTCTAGAAGAATTGAGAACGTAAATCGGATGAGCCGACGGATTTACTAATCCAATAGCGGCTCTCTAACTAATCCCTTCTTCCAAGCACCGTGACACGGGGACCGACTGGAATCGAGTTAATGTAATTGAGAATTTTAGCGCCTTTTGCTCATCGCTTTGTCCCGGACTTTCCCTGCTTTCCCCGTACTTTCTTTCTCGTTTATCCAATCGTTTCTTCTTCAGACTATCGAAACTGATCTCTCTGCAAAATAGATAAATATTTTTGCCCGACATTTGAAAAATCAAAACTTGAAGAATTTTATTAAAGCTAAAGAAAAATTAAAAAACGCTGCTTACTGAAAGATTTCACCAAACGCAAATTATGATAATAATGTTTTAGAAGACTTACGAATTAAAAGCTTTAGAAAATTGTATATATTTCTACAAATTGAGAATCATTAAACATTATCATGTAACCATGATGTGACTATTGATGGAAGAACCCGTCGCGACTCGAGTTATTACGCGATTGATGATCGCAAAATTACGGAATATAAACGTTTGTCAAATTTAATTGAATCAATGTTGCGGCAGTCTGGATAATTGTTTTACAGGAGTTTAAGAGTCGCAAAATGTTAAACGTCAACTTTCGCCTTCATGGAAACTCGAGCTGGAAAGTTTCGTTTTCCGCTACTAAGAACAGTTGTACCACACAACTGCGTTACACCGAGATCAACTAGGAGGGAGGGTGTGCGAAACTGTTTTAAAACTCTTGCGAAGCACGCAGGCATAAACTCTCGCGCTTTTTAAAAACCCCTAAAAAAGTTATCCACCTAATGAAGCAGTAAACCACCGCACTCGAGGGAAGGGGCTGTCGCGCAGCGAAAAACGATGACCTTTCCTTTCGTATGAATAACAGACAAAGGAAAAAGAGCGTGAAAGAGAGAGAGAAAAATTGCTATCGATCTTTGAAACTGTAGTCGCTTCAACAAAATCTCGGCGACGACGCACTGTAGTACATGAACTTTATTATTAGATATACACACTGTTTGCGTTCTATAAAAAATATTAATCCTGCATAGTCTCTAAAATAATCAATTAAATATCACGTCCGTCATAATTTAAAGACGACTGTAAAGCTAATTTAACGTTTAATGTACCACGTAAGAGTTAACATGTTTTAATATAACATAAATTATATTATATTCAATTCTTGATTAAAATATCTGAAAATTATTTATTACTATTCTCTTGCGAATTCTCTTGCGAATTATTTGCGAAGTGTATGCATATTACCAGCGTGTTAATGACTAATAGATTTTTATGCAGCAAAAGGTACGGTGAAACACGGCGCTAAATTGAACAACGTTCGCAGTAACGCGCCCTGGTAGCAAATTACATTCGGATATATTACAAATTGCTCATTATCTCTGCGCGCATTATGAATCGCGCGTTGGGCGCGAGCGTAAACAGAGCGCGCTTCGGGTAACTCGCAATAACTAACGCCCGACGGTGCGTATTACCCGCGGATTTATTGTAATTCTCTACGATTGCTTTATCCGTGAATTCGTAACCATATCGGTGGATTCGTATTATCCGCATGTATTTCGTCCGTAATGCATGGCGCACAAATGGCATAGGTCGCATCTCTTGTGTATAAAGTATAAGCATCAGTATCGATCGGCTTGTCCAGCAATCCGTTGCTTCTCCAAACGCGTCGGAGATCGTGCAGCCTCGTCATCGTTTAAATGTCGAATACGTCGTTACGCGGGATACGAGAATGTGATGGCACAGATTTCACGCAGAAATGAAAAAGTTCCGTCGCAATTGTCTAACGCGATATAAAGCGCGATTCCCTTCGCAACTTCATCCTACCCGCACGGTTCGTAAACCGCGTGCATATATGCGTCGCTTTTTATTCGCCGTATAATTGCGCGATATGCGCGACGGTCCCGCAATGCTGTGACAATTATTCCCGTGACCGAGAACGCGCCATTAGGAATCGTGGAATTCCTACATTTCATATCTTTATTCGCGCATTTGAATGCACGTCGCGTTTTAGCCCGATACCATTATCGGGATCGATCGGAATCCAATCGGAATCAAATCAAAACTGCACGGGCACTTTAACCGAATGTGAAAGAATGATCGCGCGGTGGATTAGCGGTGGCGGAGGGTCGAATGATTCGCCAGGTGCCGGAACGAGCTGCGTTATCTGCGAGACCGAAAGCGCGCACGTGGCAAATTGCACGCACGAATACAGTAAACGCGAATGGAGCCCGTAATTATCACCTCGGCATCGGTCGGTAGGATGAGCGACACGGTCGTCAACATAAGCGCATAAAGCGCACCGCGTTATCCGCATGTATCTGTGAAACATAACTCATGAACGCTGAGGATCGTGCAATTCAGGAAATGAAGAACTGTATGAAAAGTAGTCGTTTAAAAGAGGAATATTAATAAAAATATATATATATGGATTATTTTCACTCTGCAACATACTAAGATTGTGATAAAATTGACTAATTGCAAATTTTTTGCTCACGCAACCTTTATATGCCGCTTTTCTCGGATGTGTCATTTTTATTTAGTTATTTTCAATATTAAGGATTAAAGTATAGAAAATTATGTTGGCATTATTATATATAAATTTAAATTTTTTTACAATTTGTGCCATTCTATGCCATTCTATATTATAACATGTTATGTATATATATAGATATATAATATAATGTTAGATATAATATATATTTTAGTATATTATATAACAATATTAAATAATATATTACATTATAATATATTATACTTATTGGATTTCACGCTTTTCTAGTCATGAATCTGCTCTGAAATTCAAAATTTTTAATTTGAATTTTAAAGTAGACTAGAAAGGCGTGGAAATCCAATTAATAATAATTAAGTGTTATTTAAACCTAATAAAACTGTTTTCCTTCTAAAGTAATTTGGATGTGAGGTTGTAGACACTGATAACCACATACGCATTATTGTCATATTAGCGCGATACGTAATACTGCGCGCGTATATGCGCGGTTTTCCGCAATCCTCGGAAAGGCGTGGTGGTGGTGTGCAGCAGTGAATTTTGGGTGATAATATAACGGTGCGGCAGAACGTGCCTACGCGTTATATAGGAATTGGTGCATGGCAAACGGGGCAAAATAATCGGACGTCGAGAGTTATGGGGCGCGAACCGGCGACCGGTTAATCAGCCACCGATAATTATCGACACGGGCAGTACATCACTACCCTTCCTCTCCCAGCGCGTCCTCCCTCGGTCCTCCGCCGCGCGATCCGCCGTCCCTCGTTCGTTCCCGAAAGCCGCCCGCGTTGCAACCCCTTGCAACCGACCCCTTGCCGACCCTGTGCTTCCACTCCCCTCCCTTCCCCCTCCCCCTACCTGCCGGCGGCTCGGCATCCCACCACCTGGCGTGACAAACGCACCGCCGATACCATCATTTATTTCGCAAATGTGCTGCAAAACTGCCGCTATTCATTTTCGGTCCAGTCGATTCAGTTTTCCGCTCCGAGGGTCCGCCCTGATGGCCGTGCACGCGGCTCTGTGCAGTCGTGCGATGGTTTTATCGTTTCGCGACGGCACGATCGCACAGACCAGCGCCGATAATGCGATTTCTCGGCGGTGATTTTTAACAGCCGAGTGCAATATACGTTATACGGTAAATTTAAAAGTCGTTTATTATATATACAATATATTACAATTATGTTAATTATATTTGATAGAGATTTGCCGCTGGAATTTGTAAGAAATTTGACAAAATCTATATTTTTCTATATCATTGAGAAGAAAAACACACTAGTAATAACGTGAATAGTTATATATCTATATTTTTATAAAATTCTGAGATAATATATATAGAATAATTATTCAAATGTATTCTATAACTATTAACATGATGTGACATGAAGAAATAACAGTAATGATGAAACAGAGTTTTACAAGATCAATTCGAATCTGAGATCAACGCGCAGGTTATGCGAAGCTCGAAAAGGGGACTTTCCGTGCCATTACTCAAAGATGGCATTGGAGTCCAGCGGCCTAATCTCGGCACATGAGACCTTAATAGGATTTTAAGGCGTCGAGACCACCTGCGCGCTTCCCCACGGTCGACCTCGTTTGTCTTTACCTCTCCGCCGGTTCGGGCATTCTTATTACATCCAAGGAGTGCATGCCATGGACTGATACATCTCTCTGATTCCGGCGACAGAGAGAATGTCGTTTAACATTTCGCCGAAATTCAAAGATTATTCGCACTTGTTAAAATAAAAATAAGTGTTATCTTTATACTATACGTATAAATTGATATGTAGGTGTAAGAGATTTACTAATTGCACTGAGAAAAAAAAATTATTAATCCCAAGAAATATTTAGTTCAATACGTTCAACTAAACATTTTAGTTAGTTAACTAAATATTAGTTGTTTCAACAATTTATTTCGTTTCTTTAATCAAGAATTAATTAATTCAACTAATGTTTAGTTAACTAACTAAAATGTTTAGTTGAACGTATCGGACTAAATATTTCTTGGGATTGACAAATTTTTTTTCTCAGTGTGTAAGTCATAAATAGTCATATTTACATGTGCAATGATAAAAAATAAAATCAGTGTTGTAAATTATTCGATATTAATTTCATTTCTAAGTATTTCAATTTTGGAAGTATATTATTACATTTTAATTAGTACAATAATATGGCAATGAAAGATACGGCTACATTTACATCGTAATGTAAGTAATACAGTCAATGGACGATTCTCTAAAATGCGATATCTAATTGATTATAGGGTTGGCGTGGGCCGAGCACATTTCGAGAAACAACCGCCGAGTAATCTGAGGAAGAGCAATTTTTTCCATTTCGTGATCGCCCTTTACGATCGACACGGCCAACCGATCGAGATTGAGAGGACGTCGTTCATGGGCTTCGTCGAGAAGGATCAGGTAATGATTTCCTATGACTATTATATTCCTCGCAACCGTTCTTAGAATTTTCGAACCAATCCGAGCCGATTGATCCACCAACGCTATGATCACGATGCAAGTTACCGTCCTAAAACATAACGTCGCAAAAAACGACCGCAAACTCGGAAAACCCGATCGCGTCGAGACATTTCTCTTTCGAAAACGGCGCGCGAAGTTAAAGAATGGTGGGCGAACGAACGCGGCCGAGTTTGCCGGTGAAAATGAGCGACGATAGCGGATGATTAAGTTCGGAATTTCAATGCTTCGCGCTAACCGCCACTCTCCGGGGAGACCGGATAGAAAAAAAAAGGAGGAGAGGAGGCCCTTTATGACGCCGGGGGAATATCGTGCGAGCGCGCGCTTATCTCGATAATTGCCGTTTCCATCGGGGCCGGCGTCAAATATTAAACAGCAACGCCTACGCGTGTACGCGCGTATACGCGTATCGATGATCCGTAGAGTCCATAGCGCGGCGCCTCTTTTCCGGCAATTAGCTGGACAGGCGAAAATCCATCGGCCCCGCGTGAGAAATGGACGGGCGCGATCCAGGATCACGGGAATGGTCACGCGAAGCGAATGACCTACGAATAATAAAAGAGCGCCCTTCGAGTCGCCTTCCACCCACGCGTTCGCCGTACCTTCGATTGGAGATTACATTCTGCCGGGCGTTTGTTAACCGGGCACTCGTGTGCGAAATATCGAGGCTTCCACGAGAAATTACCGTAATTGCCGATGATACAGTCTGCAACTAATTATACGGCAGTAGAATGAATTCTATCATGATTATACACTTTATCGCGCGACGCGTTAACGTACAAAATATACAATACAAAAGGCCA